TCGAGTCGCCGGCTGTGTGATGGTAATTATCGAAGGTGCTGCCGGTTTCCCTCATTGTCGCCGCCGTCGCCGTTGCTGTTGCTGTTGCTCCGGGGCCAGTGCTTGTCGTCGCGATAGTCGGCGTTGCCGTCGGAGAGGGACGGCCCTGCGCCATGCAAGAGCCATGGGAGGGGAGGGGAGGGAGAGCCGCAGGTCGGTGGCGCAGGATGTCATGGTAAAGGTGAGACCGTAAAGTTCTCGGGTCGCGCGCGATTCGAGCAGGCGTGCCCCCCAACGGCACACTTACGTAATTAACCGGCCGCCCTGTTAGGACAAAATAAAGACAATTAATTTCTGATCACGCTATAAGACCCATTAAGTACACAAGGGTAGCAAGAATTATACAGTTAAAGCGGTTTATAATTACTTATAAAAGCTTGTCGCACTGCAATTCATGCAATCGTTCTCAATGCTAAAACAGTATGCAGGAGAATGCACATGCCGTCACCATGCTGATTTCTATTTGCAATTCCAAGCCACTAAGGTATCGTTCTACATACATATGCATGCAGAGAAATTTTAACATTTAATTTACAATCGCCGTCGTCGAATACATTCCGGTTCTGATTTTGCTGATGACCGTGACTGCACTGACGGAATTTCCTTTCACTACGATCAGCACTGATCGCAAAACAACAATGTTCTTCAACAAGCGGAACGATTCGCACAAAAGCCATATTCCGCCGAAACTTACATGGGACTGTGCTTGAAGTGCTCTCACAACATGAAAATTACGCTGACTTTCCTTAGTTAGCGTGCTCCAGAACGTCAGGGAGCACGGTATTGCAAATCAATGTAGTCTTCGCTGCAAATAAGCTTAAGTACATGTGTCGATCGCGGATCTTGTGTGTAATAGTGTATCCTAGCCGACTACGCCGGTTCGTAAGGCGATCTTGAAACTTCACCCTATATCCAAACTGACACCGATAAACCATTTTCCACGATGATCGGGGTTCTCTCGCCGCAGGAGAACGTGCAATCATTGTGTAAAGGCGGTCACAGACACACTTTATTGTTATAATGGAAGGCTGTCAAGACGCACAGCAAATAATGATATAATAGACAATACAAGAGAGACGAGTGATCAGTAACGTATGGAACTCGAGATGTGACTGAATAATTGAATTAAGGCTTATCATATTACGTTGAACCTTGGCCTTCACAATTCTCGCGAAGATGACGGGTCAATGTGTCACCTCGAGCAAAGGAACTTCCACATCGTCCGCAGCGTTGCTGAGTAGTCTTCAAATGAACCTCGGCGACGTGCTTGCCCAGATTTTCATAATTCATCTCATCGCTGCGGCACGCTGGATCCCATCGACATCGACCGCGCAATCTGTTCTGCCACGGATTGGCCGGAGTATTGAAGTGGTATGCTCTCAGATGGCGACCAATCCCTGCTGGAGTGAGGTCGTCCAACTCTATCCCACACCCCGGACTCCAGGTACAGAGAGCGCGCTTCGGCATTGTGGATGAGGGTTGCGCAGTGAGATACGGAGGCTGAGAGGCTAGTTCATGTGCGTTTCCACGTAGGTTCCGACCAGAAACTGAGGCATTCAAATGGCCCTGTGATGTCGTATGAACGGCGTGGGTCCCCGAGCTTATTGAGCGCTTAAGGTTAAAATGGCCCACTATTCTCATTTCATTTGCACTTACACGAAGGTCTGCGGATTCCGGCCCTGGTCCATGGACGGTGTTGAAGCTGCAGTATAATAATTATGCCTGTGTTCAATCTGATCAACAAACATAGAGCAAGATGCAACGCAGTGGACTCACTGCAACTGCCGAAACTGCGGAACAGGATATATATTGTTTTCCCCATAAGGGGAAGCAGCGCCCTGGGATGTGGCGAATTCCTGAGTAACAGGTTGGACGTGAGGATAGCTACCCGCCGACTGGGCTGTTATCATCCCGAAGGGATAGTTTGTGTCGCTAGCAATCATCCTTAGCAGATCCTCAAACAAAATACGCAAAAGTGCTCACTGCTGTTGGGTAACAGCCTCTATATACGGTGCATGTTGAGAGTTGATGGCATCCGAGTACGAAGTTGTTTGATACCCATACTGGAAGGAAGACTGATAGTTGTGAGACATTTCTGTTGAAGAGAAGAACGATGAGGGACCATATTGGGCACCGGTCTTATATAGATTCAGCTCGCCTCTAACGTCCGACAAACGGATGGAAAGCAAGATCGGATCTCTTGTAGAAGTGAAAGCGAACGGCGGGACATTGATATGGACCAATCGGAAGAACTGCTGCGCGAATTCTATTAGATGGTTGGTGTCATGGAAGGGAATGTTTGCTGTATATTCATCGCCCCACGACAAAAAGTGTAGACCCGTGTCCGGTGACTGCCTTTAACAAGAGGTCTAATGTGAGTGTCCACGGTGGGGCAGAGATATTTCTTACACGGATTCTGGCGCATCCAGTATAAGGCGGCATCCTGAAACCTCTGCAATGCTGTGGGTCGTAAACGGAGAACCCGAGTTCAACCACCATAAGCTGCGCTCGGTAGATCACTTTGCATTTCAGCAGACGTAATGAACCCACTGTGGATGTACACTGCCTACCCGAAAACATAGACATTATCGGGTCGGCGCGCAACATGCACATTCGATCCGAGTGGCAATTCCGTATTCCATCCTGACCTAGCAAAATGTTACATTCAGTAGCTAGTCACTCGTCTCGTTCCAAGAAATCAGCGCTACCTCTTTTGATGATCCCGGCCTCAATGCGCAAGTCACAGCGTGGCCGGTGTGAACTAAAAATTTTCATGCATAGCACAGTAGCATAACATAGTGCCCTAAGCCCTAACATCCGATTACTCGGCAGTGTATTCCACTGATCTCCTCGCGGATCGATGTCGTATTTATGATTATAACATCTTGTGTATGCTGAGAAGAGCATAAGTTCGTCACAAATAGCACAAAAGGCCATACATGAGGATTCGCGCAGACCTTTGAACTGGCGCGGGCCAGCGCCATTCGCCGGAACATGACAATGATAAGTGCTATCGAAGGATCTCTCGACGTCTTGTCTCGCGCCACAGTCAACAAACCCGCGAAGTTGACAGCCGCGAAGAGGTGAATTGTGACAGCACGCATGACAGCCGCTCTTCAGACACATGGCTTAACAGTGCCGTATTATTGATGAACCACCGGAGCTCATGTACGATGCTGTAATGCGGCGTCCAAATTCCGAATACTCTGTGAATAGATTAGAGTGCGGAGTGACAAGACACACTCCTGACTTGTGTTCACCAACGAGCGTGGCGCGCGAAGTATCTCGTGTCATGATGGTGATAGATATTCAGAAAAATAGTATGGTAAAACAGGGCAATCACTTACTAGCTCTTGTACTCGGCAAAATCAATGCGAGGCACCATGAGCGGGCGTTCATGCGGAAGCTCCATGCTGTCAGAGATGAAACATTTATTGTCCCAAAAAGCATGCTAACTGTTAATACAAGTCATCACGACTGAATCAGTGTCGCTATTCCATGCGCTTAGAATTGCACATCTAGAATGCCGTGCAAAATTTCCGAAGAAGCAAGGAAAGATTTGTGCGCTGACAGCCGAGGCACGTTAGTTGATCTGCGCTAACCAGTCATCCGTGAATATGGACTCAGGGACCGGACTTCTCCTGTTGTGCACTGCCAGCAACCGAACCTGCCGGCGGTCGGGTCAGCATATACATATGCAAAAAGATATCACACCTCAAACCTTGAAGTTAGGACGACGATCCCATTACGCAGCTGTGCATTACCTAGACCAGGGGCCCATCTGTTACCGGCGAGTTGCATCCACAATTCGGCACCTAATTGTGTCCATTGAAAGTTCATTCAACGAACACCTGCTTGGTCCAATCAAGAGACGCAGCGCCGTGCATGATCCGTGCAAACACCTCCTAGGACCAGGCGCCTGGCGCCGAGTCCGATCTTCCGCGACCCCGCTGATGCGGCATAGCGTGTGCACCGTACAAGGGTATCGTTGCGACCGGTACTCGGTACCCCGTGAAAATGCCATTGAGGAGCATTCCGATAATAATCGCCCAGAACAAGCGCCTGGCGCGTCGATTGCGCCGACTCCGATCTTCCACGATCCCGTGCGCTGGTGTATAGCGTCTGCACCGCACAATATCATTACGCGTGAAAGTGTCATTGAGGAGCATTCCGAAAATAATTGTGGCGGTGGAGATAAGGCATTGGCCGCGCAATTTTTGAATTTCCAGGAGGAGACGCACATACATATACGGCCAAAAGGGACAAGTATACAAACACACAGATGAAGGTTACAAATCCAAGCTAAATCTGTAGAAAGGAGTACGTGCAGGATCATCACAGTGATATTGTTATCGTAAAGGGACATCGTCGATGTCAAAGTACTCACGCCGCTTACTAATGATCCGTGTGTACATTCCTCGCGGTCAGCGCTTATGTTCCAACCCCAGAGATGCGACCTACGTACCGACAGCTGAAATCACGAGAATTGCTCACTGTTCTGGTCAACGGGTTTGTTAGCGCAGTAATTTTTCATGTGCCGATCCAATGAGTCCGCCCTTCCCAGCTGGTGATGACAATACGGGCATCGTCTAGCAGTGCTGCGCAGGTGTACCGCAGCGATATGTTTTCCAAAACTAGCAAAGTTCATCTCCCTATCGCAAAGGCCGTCCATGTCGTTCCATCGGCAGACTCCCCGGTTCCTCTGGTGCCACTGATTGGTGACGTCGTCAAAATGGACCCCCTTCAGGTGTCGTGTAATTCCAGCAGGGGACACATCATCGAGCATGGCTCCACATTCATCCCCCCAACAGCAAACAGAACGGCCATATATCGTAAGAGTTGGCGATGGTAGGAACAGCGATGTCTGATATGTTGCAGCGGAGGTGGGGACAGTTTGCAGCCACGTGGGGTGGGGATCCATACTGCGAAGTGGTCTGTGGCCATGCGGCCGGAGTGTAGTGTATAGAGGAGAGTTCTGGATGGAAGGGGACGTGACAGCTCGTGCCTGTCCGTATATGGTGGCATCGAGAATCGGAAAGGCCGTAGGAGGACCTCCATATAGCATATAGTGCACGTTTGAGTTGACCCTGCAGAACCTGTTCAGCGCCGATTGTTTTACCATTTCAACTCCAGGGAAACCTACGAAGTGTTATCAACAGGTGGACTTGTAACGAGTCGTTGATTTATGGTTTCGTATCTGTCAAAGTCGACGAGTGATTGCGGACCAATCGGACGTCAGAGCACGGTAAGACCCAGTGGTCTTGAAGGCCACTCACTGTGTGGGGGCGCTAAATGAAAGCGAACTCCTGCCGATATCTTGACACAGAGGCGACAACGGCGCGCCACCCAACTCATGAGACTGGCGAACACCACAATTCTGAAGGAATGACCATGGTGCAGGACTCCCATGATCGCCACCGTGAGATCCAGATTGAGCCATCCCAGACACAGCACCCTGAAAAGATAAGCGTTCAGCGGGAAGAGTGGTCGAGGAGTGAGTTGGATTCTAAATGCAGGATGATGGATGATGGGTGCTGGATGCTGGACGTTATGGAGGCGAGTCAAGCTGCAAGAACCGGCGCCGCAGATGGTATTACTAGTCACTCACCTCGGGCGGCACTGCTCCGAATTTAACTTGTCCGCATGCAGGTCATGTGTTGCGTAAACACTGTCTAAGTGGAAGAAAACCAAGGTAATATGCCCTGACAGGGACGGCGCAGGCTATGGACTGACTGGCCATAGGATGGCTTTCGTCTCTCCAGTACTCAGTTCGAAGTGGAGGCAGAAGGGGACCGCTTAACGATCGGGCAAACCCGATCCGGAGCATTGCAATCGCACGCCGCACGGAAGCAGATTGTCTCGCGGACTATTCTTTTCAACTGAGAAAAATGATGCCGTTTTGGTTTCGGCCGCGGCGCAGATGCTAAGTATCTGATGCATGTCGTCAGACACAGGAATTCCTCGAGTAGAAGTCCCATGGACGTGTGCCAAGCTATTGGATACATATTGTTCGATTCGTCGTCGATCTATACTGAGGGAAAACTCGAGTGTGAGCCGAGGCAATTGAACACTATTACTGGGGCTAATTCCTGGTTTTTGCTGAGGAGCCTCTTCCAATTCGTCGCTTAGCGAAATTATTACAAACCGCCGCACAGGACATGCAACCACCTAGTGTCGGCTTTAACAATGTATTAATGTTCTGGAACATTATGTGAGAGTAGAGTGGAGCTATAGTTGGTGACTGGAAGAATCCAGTTTCAGTGCCTTGCACTTAGTACTAGAATAAAACTAATCCACCAAGCCATTCTGCCCCGCAGCCATATGGCAAATCATATCAACTCTGTGAAGCCGGGTAAGCCGAAGGATAGAAGAAGAGCGAACAAAGCCGGATTGATTGTATGATCGGGGGCGTACGCATCTTGTCCGAGATGATATGCCACATGTTGGTGTCCGACACCAACCCGCGACTGATCAATGGTCAACCCCGCGAACGTACAGTACGCGTGCTTCGTATCAGTAATGGCCACGTGACTAGGATCGAATTCTTACATTCATGAGGCGATCATGGATGTTTTCACTATTGAGAGCATACCGCATGTCGCGGAAAATTTGCTTCCGAAACGGTCTTCGACGCATCGCACCCATGGTACAAACCGGTTCCAGGTACCGATCCAAACAGTCAGAAAACGTGCATTTCTTCATTCGATCACGTCACGGCGAATAGCTTGAGCATCGAGCTCAGCCGTTGTAGCGCATGTATTGCTAGTGACATGCCCGCGTAAGAAGCTGCCGAAGTTAGTAGGACGGATTGCTGGCCAACTTTTCGTATGTCTTAATTTAGTGTCGACCGGTGGCAATGGCAGTAGCAGTCGTCTGGATATAGTATCCCAAGCATGCTCACATTACGAAGAGACAGGCACGGACCGCACGATAGAGTCATTGCGCCGTGCGGCGCAACATGAGTTACTTGAACTGGTCACGTGCGATGCGTATTCGGGCAGTGGCCCGAAGCCCGAGGTGAATCTCTCTTGCGGTTTTTGGTGCATTGACTCCTACCCTCTAGTAAGCAATAACGATGTTTATGTCATAAAAAATTCCAAATACATTTCACGAGATTGAACATGTTTTTAGTTTAATATCAAAGACAACTTCAAGCTGAAGCTGCGGCCATGGCAAAATTGTAAGCATGCACTAACACTGAGTGACTAGCCTGCAGGCTGTAACGCATACAGAGTGTTCTCGGTGAGATATTTGGTACTAGTAGATACTTTTACACATAATGGGTATGCCTGAGGGTATATCACGATCTGCCGACTATATTCCCGAGCGAGATTAGAGCAGCGGTAGCTCCGCCATTACTTCTGCGAACTTCTTCGTGGATAGAATGTCTGCATCTTGATCCTGTATCAAATTGCATGCAATCAGCCGAGATTCATGCTCCCAAATTGGTATATAGATTCAACTTGCATATAATCAAGGATGGACAGCCATTGGGTCCATCAAATGCAACGTCTTTTGGCAATAGCGCTTGAGATGTCGGTCTAATACATCAGGTCTTGCAAATTTCCGACCGCATTGTTCACATTGGCAAGAAAGTGACTTCAGGTGTACTGCTGCGATATGCTTACCCAAGCTTGCGTGAAACATCGTCCTGGTATGTGCGCACCGACCATCGCGCCAATCACAGGGAGCCTTCGCTCTATCATCCCACTCGTGAATATGATATTGTTTCAAATGGCGAGCAATCCCAGACGGGGTTGTATCATCCAACTCTCCACATTGACCGCCCCAGAGGCATATTGCATATTCATGCTGGGGTTGTGGCGCCCCTGTCTCTACTGTGGAAAACGTTTGGGATGTAACAGGTGGAACCATGATGGTCGTCAAGAGGTTATGGTTGGAAAACAGGGTTGGAATTAATGAACCAGAGGAGTGCTTAATAGAGATTGAACCAGGTATGCTGCGCAGACAACATCAGGCGAGAGCAGTCGAAAGTATGACTGATTGCACGCACAAGGGGCTTGTCGCTGTCCCGACCTCGAGGATTCCGTATTCACCGAGTGAAGCAAAGCTATATAGGACTCGTCAAATCTTGGGCATTCACCAGCAGCTTATATCGCAAAAGCTGAAGATTGATACACACCTCACCGCGGCATCCCAACTCTGATGTCTCCTATATGGGCTGCACATGAATGATCGAACTGGAAAATCGTCGGATGACGTGTTCACATAGGTGGAGGAGCCGTGCGACCAAGACTGCGCCTGGCTCGATGCGCTGTCAATGAGCATCGGACGTCCACCATCATCTGCGCTTGATTCATCAGACACACACGCTGATCAGCAGATACCACGTACCTTTTATGTGAGAGATAATACACCCCTGTTGTTCCATAGGAGACGAGTAATGGGACACTGTGACTTTTGGGGGGGACATCGCATTGATGCAGAAGGTTGCGGAAAGGCGAGCTGCACGGCAACGTTTGTACGAACGATCTATAAACCATGAAGAGTTCCATGCCTCGTGTAGACCGGCCGTCGGACAGAGCCGAGTCTGGGAAGCTGCCAGATTATGGTGACCTGATCAAAATAAATGTCAAACTATTGTATTCCGCATCTTGAGATGGCATGTATACCGATCCACTCGCAAATGCCGTTTAACTTTAAAGCCTAGGCGGGGAGCCTTCTGGATAATTTCTCAGCTGAACCCGCTTGCATAGCAGTGTACAGGAATATATATCTAGATACCCCCCCAGATAAACTTCGTTGACATGAGGGATCTCTATAGAAGGATTGGTCAGTTCACTACAATGTCCGGAGCATATCAAATAGAGCAAGCGTAGAGTCTCGGCTTGCGCTCGAATAAACGGCCGAGGCGGCCATGATCCGACCGATGATTCTATTTTACACAAGTGCGCGTGAGCAGCCAAGGTATCGATCCAGATTTTGGGATACGGAGCAGTGGATGCGAATGTTGACGTCGATTCAGCAGCTAAGTTCAACGACCAAGATATGCGCGGCGTTAGATTTGCTCGCGGGGCTCAACCCCAAGAATCTTTTGCGGACGCTATCAAGAAACCATCACATGTTAGAATGATACAATGTCTGCGACTCGGATTTGCACTACCTTCGCCTTCTAAACCATGACTGGTTCTGGACCAGGGTCTTCTAGCGTCGATTCAGTTATCGGCGGCACCTCAGAAACACATAGTCATCGAGGCCGAAGGAACACACTTCCCTGCTTGTCATAGTACTGGGTATCTTAGGACCGGCATCGAGCAGAGCGACTTAAAGAATGCTTTTCGGAAAGACTTCCAATTCGAATTTCGCGCGCGTTGTGGAACCAGATGCCGAACATACTACCCGGGGTACAATCTTCCACAAACCTTCGCTCCTGCGGGTCACCGGGTGTCGGATATCCTGTCTAACAAAGTTGTTTTATGACCCACGGTCATCCAACGTGGCGGAAGTCCGTACTCACGACATCTTCGAGTTAGGCCATTTAACAGCCATGTCCTGGAAATTAACAAGACTCGCCAACCATACCAGAGCACCCAACAGGTGGACATGAAAAGGCTGATCGTGCGCGTTCTGTCGGTAGATGCGCTTAGGCCTTCTCGCGCCGATTGACTCAGTGAGATGGAAGAAGGCGTCGCAGCCGGGAACACCCTTTCCTGAACTCGCTTGGATATTCATGCCGCGAATAAGAACATTTGATTCATGAACTTTCTAGACATCAAAGGAAGGTCTGATCTGGCAGGAACTTGCCAGGCGTTGCAATGGCTCTGTCGCACAGTTATCACTAACCCAGCCTATACTATAGGTTATGTGGCCGGGGGCGATGTTGTTTTGGGGTCTGTACACATGGGGACCTATACCACAAGATTTAACTTACCATTGTTCCACGCTACTAAGCCGAAAGGATGTGAGTTTGTTTGATCGTGCCACTCACATTGCTCATTCGATGAAGAATTTTGGCCACCCTGAGGCAGTCGATGCAAGGTGTTAAGGTGCCATTTTGTCACCATTCGCGTCAAGTCAACGCGGGCGCGCCTGAAGCATAAAAGCCTGCTTAGCCTTCAAAAGTTCCGAAAAGTCAAGGAACCAAATTACACGTGGCCGTAACCCACAGGCGCCTATATGGGCGTTCAATTAGTCCAGGCGAGTCGTCGGACTGCTCTACCGCCTGCAGGTCAACGACGACAGTCACATTGCTCCGTAACTAGAACGACTCCCATCGCTGCCTAACAGCACACCGAGCTGGTACCGACCACAGCAGACGGAGATTTGGATATGTCCGAGGGTATGCAAATCACGATACCAGGTATGCAGATACTTATCCTGCATAGACGAATTGCTGAATCCCCTGCAGACTTCGAGGAGGACGACTACCATTCAACCCCCATATTCGGTCGTCCTCAAGGTGGTGGACTGTGGGGAACACCGAGCTCTGGCCAAGACTCGCCTACGATCCTGACTCCTCTTGCTCTCCCGGAACGTGCGGATAAGTCGTATTTTCATGCTCGAGGCGATTCCAATACCTCGGAGGACTCCACGAACTCGCTTCAACATGGCACGCGGAAGATTAAGTCTCCTTTTGTGCACTCCGCACAATCATCGCTCGCGACAAGTGCTACTGGCGGCTCGTCGTTCTCCAAGAAGACGTCATTCGCGTCGCTCCGAAACGCCTTCAAGAAGTCCACAGAGCCTGCTCCTCCACTCCCTGTCCTCGATCATCAGGCGTATCCTGTGCTAAAGAATCCATTCAGTCGATCGACATCCTCTCTTGCCCAGTTACCCCCAATGTCTCACAAACAGCAGCCATCAACGCATGCAAGCCCTCCACATTTCCGACCACCAACACCTGCATCGGCGGATTCGAGATTCAGAAGCGCACCACCAAGAGCTCGGGAACATGCATATGCTCCATCGCAGCACTCCCACTCGGGCTCAATTTTCCACAACTCCGACGCTGGTAGTGATCATGGACATTACTTCCCAATGTCATCGTCACCGCCACCTGTGCCACCGGTCCCTTATGCATTTGCACATGATGAAGGGCGTTCGTCATTTGATTTAGAGGAGAAAATCAACATGGACCCACGCACACCATCGGATTATGCGCTACATGCAATCTTCATCCGGTTTGCAGCTGCGGCAGAGGCGCACATCAATGAGTTCCTGCGGCAGTCTCTGGAAAGTGACCCAAGATTGAACGAGTATATGGGACCGAATGTGGATCCTAAATTTGATGGGCTACTTCTATCACTTGGCAAAATAGCGCAGAAGCATGCGAAACCGGTTGTTGATTCAGTCATGCGATGGCGTAAGTCACAGAATGAAGCTGTCGATGGTGATGTGCTTCGCTATCATTCGGAGCTGCCTTCTACCAGTACACGCAGCATGCGACCTCAGGACGTTTACACCGTTCTCCATGAACGCAAATCGCTGGCATCAATTTACATAATGTGTCGCGCATTGATTGCAGTGACGCATTCCATGTCGAAGGATGGCCTGGGCGACGCGGTCGGACATAGTCTTGAGGAACTCACGTTTGAGCAGTTCAGGCGACCGGATCTAAAGATGTTATCTATGTCTCCCAATCATCGTATCAATGCCGACTTGTATGCGACGCTTCTTGGCCAAATCGCAAATATCCGGTATGTTTCAATAAATCGTACGGTGGAATAGCGTTGGTAATAGCGTGATATCAGCTTTGAGAGCGTGACCGATCGCTTTCTAGTAGAACTTGGGCCCGTGGCAGCAGGGCAAGTCCCCAAGGATTCTGATTTCAAGTATGAAAATCTGGTCAAGGGATTGAGGCACGTGCAAATAAAGGTATGTGACTATCAAATATCCATAGTAGTGAATATTGAAGTCTCTCAGGTCTGGCCGCCGGAATCCTTTGAGGAAGGCGCTGAATTTTTGGCGTCGCTCTCGAAATCATTTGAAAACGCACATGGCAATCGTCTTAAGACAACGTTTGCGGAGACCCTTATACATATGCTGCATCCCATCGCCAAGGTAAGTTATGGTCCGACGAGGTCATTTTGGTTGACTGATTTCGACGGCATCTAGACGGCACAGGCTGAAGTCAATCATCCTGAATGGGCCAAGGCGATCGAGGTCATCTATCCCCGAGTCAAAGATATGATGAACAAGCCCAGGTATTGGCACGTCGCATATCCGCTCGCGGTCACGACACTTTGCGTTGCTCCGCAAGATTTCTTTCTACGCAATTGGAACATATGCTTTGAGGCAGGCCTCGGGAAATTGAAGGTGCGGTCAGTTTGCAGCATTGTTGCTGTCCCCTTCTCACACTGCCACAGGAGAAGATACATCGAATACAAGTTATGAATGGCATCCTGCGACTGATGTGGACATATCTATATCGATGTCATGAATCTCCGTCGACTGCTACAGGGAAAATAGAAACGATTCTGAAGCATTTCTTCCCGGCTAATCGACTCGTGGTCAATCCTCCAGAGGAGCATATTGAACCATTCATCTACATCATTCATTTCATTCTTTCACGACATTTTGACTTCGGCAGCGAGTTCTGCCTGGAATTGCTGCAAGAGCAGAGTATTTCTGCGAACAACGGGAATTTTTTGGCCCCGGAAAGAGTGGCCATTGCCACTCATGCAATCCTACGTTCCCTACATGGGCTAGAAGCAGAAGAACATGTTCCCTCCTGGCCTTCGAGCTCCGACTATACTCAATATCCTTCCCAGGATGACTATCCGACATCTTCCGATCCGCTGCCATCTTCGCTGATCTTGAAATTGGGATGGAAAGATTTGATGGAAAGGTCGAGCACCTGTTTGACAATCCTTGCCAAGTCTTGCTACAATGTGGTCGGGAAATGGTCCGTACTTGACGATCAATGGACTGCGAGCCGACTCAATCCGGCATACGAAGAGACGCATAATTTCATAATCCGACGTCACCCCGAAGGCACCGTAGCATTTCCGTCGCAATATTCTGCCCACATATCCATACTTCAAACAGCCTATCAAGCATGGCCGCGTTGCCTTCATTCTTCGCTCGCATATGAGGACGTCTTTGATATGCTTATTCGCGGCGTTGTTCACGTCGAGCCTGGAGTTGGCGAAGCTGCAACGTTAGCCTTACAACGGTTCATGACAGAAGGCACACATATCTCTTCTATGCTATCTCGATTTTATGTATTCCTATTCGATCGCATGGTCAGCGACGGCGGAGGACTGAGGTTAAATGTCGAATCCCCTCGCCTCTTAACGTTGTGGCTTAGCTTCATCGGGCATTGGATTCACAACGTTTCTCAGCAGCCTTTGGATTCGCTCACGGCGGAGGATGTCAAGGAAGTCATGGCTAGAGTTCATGAAATCGAAACTGGATCGCTGTTTCTTCTCGCGCACAACAAGCGTCCTGTTCATACAAGTGGTGTCAAGGCTATGCGTCTGCTCGCCAGTTTACAATCTCACATTCGAGCGTCACAGGTCTTTCTGGGGCTCGAGGGAGCGTTTCATATCGTATCTGCTTTTCATGGCAGTCTTGAGCGGGCTGTCTATCTCGAAGGCTACGAAGATTTCTTGGAACCCGAAGAGGCAATCCGCCTAGACATGTGGAAGCGAGAGTGTCATGACGACGTCGCTTTACGAATTGTGGACAGTGACACCCACGTAGACCATCTCTTGTGGGTTCATGTATGTCCCCCGCTCCTTCGCGCGTGCATGGAGATTTCATCATCTACCATTTCTTCGTTCCGGGAGCATATTGTCGCTGTCGCAACGAGATATCACCCCTTTATGGTTCAGCTTTCGGGCGTTCAGAACAAATTGGCACCAAATCTCCCCCAACGGGCTGGCTCGTTTGGAGAAAAGGATGCATCAAAATTGGTGAACGAACACAAACAAACCATTAGCCAATGGCATTTCTGGACCAAGACTCTTTGCGCGACTGCACAGGTTTCAGACGTCCGACTGACTGCAATCCGTGACCATTCTCGAGCGCGTTCGGAGGCCAATCTTGAACGAGACCAAATGATGACTACTCGTGACCTGTTTAAATATCTCAGTCAATTCTTGGATTCAGATCACAGTCTATTCCGTGACGTCGCTGTTTTCAGCATCAGTTCCTTCCCTGCCCATGGATATTCACAACTGCTCGAGGATCTCAACATCTTAGCATCGCGTCAGTTTTATGACGATGCTAGACCCAAAGCCTCGACGATGCCTGTCATAGGGCGCGCGCGTCGACAAGAGCGATTCCACACAGCCGTTGCACGTATTTATTTCATGACCGCTCGTCTACTACAGGATCAACGTTCATCCGGCAAGCAGACAGCGCTGACACATGTACTCAAGTACATTCGAAACATGCAATCATTCCTTACTGCCTCGGAGCATCGCAACGAATACTCTCTCCAGAGACTGCGACGTTATTTTTGTGGCACTGTAGAACGACTATTCGACGGTCTCGCTACTCTGAAAGATTCTGATCGCTTCATCCCTCACAACACCCACCTGGCTCTGTACCGACTCTGCGAAGAATGGTGCCAACTCGGAAAACAATCGCAAGACGCGACCAGACGGCTAGTGCTCATGCAGACGGCCGCTGGCAAGTCTCTGAGCGAGCCTGCTCACCAAGCAGAAAATATACAACGTTTTCAAACGGAAACGAAGGCGTTGTCAAATGCAGCTGTTGGGGCGATGGCATCATTATGCGTGAGTAATGCGTCAGATCAACATTATCTATATCTGAAATCGTATAGCACAAAGCGTTCTATCCTCCCGACCAATCCTCGATCTCGCCTACTGAGAAACTTTCAACATCCGAATCGAATCACAGACCTCTCGACGTTTCGTCCATGTTAGACCGACTTACTGCTGTTCTCGCATCATTCCATGAACCAGTACAGCTTGCCGGAAAGTAAGTCGTTTTACAACGTTCACGTATCTCTGCTGATCGTCCTTCCAGGAAAGCCCTTCGATCACTTCTGGTCCACTCCCCTTCTGATCCTGCGATTCTAGATGAAGTGCTGAGAAGAGCATTTGTAACCACGCGGGACCTGGAGACCAGCAATGCTCGTCTCTTTCAAGTTGTCGCGGATGTCATATGCACGGCTTCGGGGCTTCATGGCTTCAGCTTCAGTCAAGTTGCCTGCCTCGGACTATCCAATTTATGCCATACTCGTTCTGAAATCCGTCGCCAGGCGTTCAATATGCTGGAAGTCATTCACGAACAGTCTTCTGGGTTGATCTCATTATCGCAGTACGAGGCTGCAGCCTGCAGTTCCGCCCCAACCGCATATCTCAATGCCCATCGCCTCGTCTCCAGCGTTCTGGCGGGCGAGCATCCGTCACAAGCCTTGCAAATACTTTCTCGATTTACTGGGTGGATACCAAAAGTGTACGACGGCCAGTCAGATAGAGGACTCATACTCTTGTTGCAGAGTTTAGAGTTCTGGATGCCGAACATCGACCTTTTGGATAGCAAAGGATCGGGAATATCGCGCGACGGATGTTCCGCAATCTACTACTTACTTGCCCTCACGCTTCGTTATATGGAAGGTTACTCGGAACAAATCTTTGTCTTATGGTCTCGACTAGTCGATCCGCCTCATAACGCCAATGGATTTGCCACCATTCGGTTCCTCTTGGACCTGACTGCAAGGGTTGGGAGTACGACGTTCGTCACCTGTGTCGCCAAAGTCGTCGTATGCTTGACACAAAGCGCGATTGGTGCCCAAGTCTTCGCTGATACAGTTGGCCTCGTGGATCCTTCAAGGGTTTTGCCAGACTCCGATCATCGGAGTAGTGTCCAGGGCCCTGAGGGGATTGAGGGGTGGCCAGAATTGAGCAGCCTTCTCTCGGAGAAGCCCAAGTTAATCTTGGGATATTCTCAATTTGCCCTTCTTTTCCTATCCGACGTGACGATGGAAGAGACCTGGCCTTTGACTGACCAATTACCTGCCCTTCTCCATTCTGTTCTGATGCATCTTAGCCACAAAGAAGACTTCGTCAAGAAACGCAGTCTCCACATGCTTCTGCAGATGCTACGAGTGTGTGTGTCGGGGTACGAAGACATCGGGGACCGCTTTTCTTCACTCCCGCGCTCCGAGTTGAAGCTTGTTTTAGAAGAGCTTGAAACGGAGGCCCAATCGCACCTATGGAGCGATGACGAGTCTGGCATTACTGCGGAGCCCAAACTACGATGGTTCATATCCCGCATAGTCAAGCTGTCGGAGGCATCTTATCCTGACTTACGCACCAGGTGGGGATGGTCGGCATTGTGCTGGGGGACGTCGTGCCCCAAACGTGAACTCGCCTACCGATCGCTCCAAGTGTATCGGGCACTCGCACCGCCCGTTGGACGACCAGACCTGGACGTTCTATTGGGGCGCTTAGCTGCGACAATTGCAGGAGAAGATCTTGGCATGCAGAACTTCAATGTTGAGATCATCTTGACAATCAACGCCATGTCGTCCGCCAAAGACTTAGATATTGCATTTCTTCCTAAACTGTTTTGGGTGGCGGTGGCCTGCCTCTCAACTACTGTAGAGAACGAATTTCTTCACGCTCTGCAACTGATCGACACACTGTTATCTAGACTAGATCTTGATGATCCTGCAATTGTGGAGCTACTCCTTGAACGTCGACCTCCCATGTGGACTGGGTCTTCGTCAATTCAGGCTTGCATGCTGACTGGTCTCCGCTCATCCTCCACCTCGGGCACCACACTGAAGTTGTTGCAACGTCTGACGAAGATTTCTGACCCCAGGCTAATAGATGCTTCAGATGGACGAGTCCGCGATCTATACACGTTGTCGCTTCCGTGGTGCCTTCATGATATGGCTAATGGAAGCCAAAGTGAAGCACTTCAAGAATTTGCTCTAAATATCGGGCGACTCGCTGAAGAAGAGGAACGGCCAAGCATTGATCGGATCATGACATCGTTTGCGAAGAGCCGCTTCCGCACGAAGGAGGACTTTCTTCGAGAGGCGGTTGCTAGTCTTCGCGAACATTACGGTTCTGAACACTGGGCAGAAGTCATCACGCTGCTTATGGGACTGGTTCTAAATCGAGAGTCTTGGTTGCGTATACACACTATGCAGATTCTCAAAGTGCTGTTTCAGCAGAGAGAGACACGGTCACCTGTCGATCTACTCGGATCTGAGCTTCTCATGCCCTTGCTGCGATTACTGGAGACGGATCTTGCATCTCAAGCACTGGAAGTGCTAGATGAACCCTTGCAAATTTCGGGTGGTCCTGCTGCCAAGCATGTCCTTCGCATGAGTCTATATCACCATCTCCGCGCCGATGCTAAGGAGGTCGAATCTGTCGCTGAGATCTTCGGCATTGCGCAAGAGTCTGGTTGGTGTGTCCCACGAACAGGGTCGCTTCGGGAGATGTGCAGGTCAAATATCTCCGCAATTTATGGTTCGTCTCAATCTAGTGCGAGGCCATCGCGCATCGACTTCCAGTCGGACGAAGTCTTGCCCCTTGCGGACGACCTCTATGAGGATGACCTGGGAGATATGGTGCAGAATCTACATGAGCTCAGCAGTTTCTTCCAGGAGGAACATTCGTTGGCGCCTATGCCGAACCGTCAGCTCGAAGCTCGAGTTGCGGCGATTCTAGCCAAATCCACAGACCTGGCGTCAGACATTCCCCAGACGCCTTTCGCGGACGTGTTCCACATCGGAAACTTGGACTCGTATGATGATGATTCTGATGATTCTGACTATGATAACAGTTCAGACCTCTTCGAATTCGACTCTCCATCCATTTCACGATTGACTTCTAAAACCGCGCACTACTAGTCTGCATACACTCTTTGGGCTATTGTTCCGTTTACACTATAATTTATTACATGCAACATGTATTGCTACTCAAGCCTTTTAGATACGCGGATACCCTATAATGAGATGTTGAATGTCGATGTCAGTGTAGTAGAAATAGAGCCTGAAGCTCTCTGCATTTGAATACAGAATAGACGGTCTTTGCATATAGGATCTGGCGTTCATATTTCAGGTTGTAGTCCTCTATGACAATTACGTACGATTACAGACTTGTATTGTGACAATAAAGAATGCATGTGGCAGAAATTTTGAAGTTTAGCGAGAATTCGTGAATGAGCGGACTGAATGAGCTACGATATTATATAAACATTGCAGTTAATGACGGTGTAATGGTAATGCGAGTGATGAAGCACCAGGAACGGATCTTGTTCGTACAGATTAGAATGCCAGTATATCCATAAGTCCTTGTAACCAACTAGCGAACCACAAACGTATGCGAAGCTACCTCTTTTGACTCGAAAGCGTCGTTGACGGCCGGGCGTATGGCGAGGAATCAGGAACGGGTGGTGATGTTTGACCAGCCACCGGGAATGCCTCTCCGTCTTTTCGCAGGTGCACTGCGGAAGCCGGGAATACCCATGGCCTCCCAGCCATGACTGTCGCCCTCGTCCATAGAACATCGTCGACTATGGCCTCGAGAGCCGAATCCGTTATCGTCGTCCCATGCCTCACTTAGGACCGGATTGCGGCTCTGGTGTAGGTGTCGTCGTAAGCTCTGGATCGAGTATTGCCGCTTTGGAGGGACAAGAAGACGCGCAAAATCGAGCTCTCCATCGTTGTCATCGTCATCTTCATCATCTTCGTACTCGTCCTCAGCCTGCTCATCGTCTCGCCCGGACGGTGGTACAGGGACACGCTGGCCGTTGACCCAGTGTGTGTGCCAAGTATCGTTCTCAACGCATGTGCTCGCGAGACTTGGGACACCCCCGCTCCGCCGCTGCGCCTTCCTGCTAGCGGGTTTGACGTGTCCGTACGCTGCGCGGTGACCCACACGTGATGAAGAGCGCGACGTCGGTGCCGAGCGGCAGACGACGCGGGCAGTGCTCACCGCACCCGGCGCTACCTCCGCCCGAACGAGACACGAGGTCAACGTGAGCGGGGCGCCGGATGTACGCTGTATAACACCGTGATTCGGCCTAGTCGGCTCACCCGATAGGGTAAATCTGCTGTCCCTTGTATGTAGAGCGCGCGACGAAGGATACCTGCGAAGGGAATTTGGGCGCTGTGGTTGACCGATGTGAGCGCCCGGAAGCCCCGAGCCGGCAACGGCTTTCGTGACCGACTCCAGCCACCGAGCTGGAAGAGCCGGCACTGGTGTCTGCCCGTTTGACCACTGCGCGTCCGTACGCAAAGCTGAGCTATCTCGTGTCGAGGGCCGCCGTTTGGCCATGTTGGGCGCGGAGGCCATGTGTCGTAAATATCCCTGAGCGGCTGAAACCTGTGCATATGTTCGTAGATTACCTGATGCAGAAGCTTGAGGGCGGAGTGAATGTGGGTAGGGTTGTCTGGCAGAGTGCCTGTAGCTGACTGTGCGGCCGTCAGAGCTACTCGTCAAGTGGCTTTGTAACGACGCAATCGTTGCGGATGACGCCGAGGGGGACAGCGGGCTCGGTGTCCGGGCGGGCCTGTTCAAATGTCGTTTATGCGACAGAGGTGATGGAGGAAGTGACCAGAATAGCGTGTCATCACCTGGTGGGGAAAGCTGTGCTTGCGGGCCAGTGCGGGGGTTCGGAAAATGCTCACTTCTCCCTGCACCTGGCATCCAGCTTGCGAGATAGCCCATGACCGAATCCACGCCCTCACGCATGCTGCTCTTCCGACACTCATCAAGCTGTGTCTCCCGTCTTTCGGCCTCCGGTGTGAATATGCGAGTCTCCTTATATCCCGCCTCGCGCAAGAGATCTTCGAGCCGCTCGTATGTCTTGGACGTGCCACGCCTGTGGAGTGGAACGCGTCCTGGATCTCGAGCGAGCGAAGTGGGGTAGCGTGATGATGGGCGGCCTCGAGGAGGTGTCGAGGGTGGCGAGTCTGTGGACACTACGGCCGACCTTGAAGGGAAGGTAGGGTTTTCCGACTGAACCTTCCGTGGTTAGGGTGAACTGAACATACCGAAACAGCAAATTGGGCACATACCAATCCTTGGCCCGTGGGCTGAGCGCCGTTGGAGTCGAAAATCGCCATCTGCGGAAGGATCCCTTCCAAATCCCCTAGTGTGTTCCTCTGAGTACTGGTCGGAATTCGCTTGACCCCGTGCGAAGCCACAATTCTGGCCCACAACCTTGGCTAGTTCATACAGCGCGAATCGCTGAAGAGGTGCCGGTTGAGATAATAAGTATCCTTGGAGAATAAGTAGCCTGGCAGAGAGTTGACACGGGACGGAGAGTAAAGCGCGGAGAAATGACGATGCGGGTGTCTCTTTACCCTTGTTTATCGGGCTCCCCTAACGTATGACCCCACTAGCTCTCACCCACTAGCCCCTGCCAACTAGGCTGCAGCTCTTAAATATATAGCCTATCCCATGGAATCGTACATGCGCGGTGGAGTTACTGGCGGGGGGCG